TATTCCCACAATACTTAAAACTGAGTTTATTCCCACAATACTTAAAACTGAGTTTATTCCCACAATACTTAAAACTGAGTTTATTCCCACAATACTTAAAACTGAGTTTATTCCCACAATACTTAAAACTGAGTTTATTCCCACAATACTTAAAACTGCAAAATTCGTCCCAATCTTCAAAGCTGGGGAAACAGACAATTTTACAAATTATAGTAAACATGTTGTAATATGCGTTGATATTTGTTGCTTACATGTCAGAAAATTATTTTTATAACTAGTTATTCTAACAAGTGTGAAAACTATTTTGCATAGGATAAAACCGCACGATCTTTAATAGTTCTCCTCTTAAACCTGTTTAATTGAAATGTTTTGTTATCATTATATAAATATAAAAAATAAAGTTGAGTTCAAATTATTGAGTATGCCATATGAATTGAGATTATTGAGATGTCTAATGAATTAGAGGAAGAATGAAATACAGGATCGAGCTATAAATAACCAAAGATTTAAGAATCAGGATTAAGATCAAGATTCGCGCTCATGAATTAGAACACGGGCAGCCGTAGTACATTTGAATTTCCGAGCCGGTCCCAGTTTGTACTGTACCTAGCTCTATGGACAGGACTAGCCGGTGCAACAAGGTTGACGCGGTCAGACATTATGCTTCATATAGGTTGAATTTACTTCTACTAAAAGGGCAGATTTGTGTATGAAGGATATTCATCAACAGCTAGATCCGGAATTAATGATTGGTGATAAATTAAGGGTTCATGATTAGCCGGGTCTTACTGAGGTTTAATTTCAAGAATAAACACATGTTCAAATTAGCTGTATTGCAATTAGCTCAAAGCACTGAAAGCGTAAATTGAAATGACTCCCCTATGAAATACCATTAAATTTGAAACCTTCAACTTTTGTCTTATCAACAGCAGCAGAAAATAACATTTGTTTTTCTCTAAATAATGTTCAATTTGCGAAAAAATGGAGTGTACATGCATCAGTGTTCACTGTGAACTCAGTCACAACAATACAAATGGTGGACCGGTTGTTCACTTAAAATAAGGCGTACATTCACTTTAAGTGTATCTTCAAATGAGAAAGCAATCCTTTCAATTTAAAGAAATTAAGGTATGTTTCTTAATAATTGTTGGAATATATATTTTCAAATGCTTAGATATCACATAAAAACATAATAATTTTTGAACTGAAGGTTAAAAATTACATTTTTTACAAATACTTCAGAATCAGATTACAAAGATAGAACTCAGTTTTTACTATAAGTATTACTACAGCGGTAGGCGATTATATCAATACAATGAAGACGACTTTCTATTTAAATTTAATCAATATCAAGTTGTTAAACACCATGGATGCAGGATGCAATCATGCAAATAAACATAGAAGTGAGGAGGCTGTAAACTAAAAAGGCTTATCTTTATCTTTGATTGCTTGTAAACTTGTAATTCGAAAAAAGCTTGTAAACAATCAAAACTTAAATAAAAAAGTCGTCTTCATTGTATTAATATAATCTCCTACTACTTTACAGAGAACAAAACAAAAAGTACAAATAATAATTAAAGCATATAACAACTACTACGTTTTTGATCTATCCATGTAATCTGCGATTTACTGTACATATTATTTACATGATATGATTATATAACAATAGATGCCAAATTCGGAGATTTTGAAGTAGTTTATACAACGAGGAAGGGGTGTAGAGCCTCCTTCAGCCCCGCCAAATGACCTTTTCATAAAAACTATTTTATCATTTTATCAGATTTTTCGAGACGGGTTTTGGGGAAATAAAAGCCTAATATTTTTTATTGGAGCCCAAACTGAGGGGCATGGAGACAGAGGTGCGGAGACGGTTTCGCGGGGCTTGGAGGTCATTCATTCTTCGTATCAGGAGGCTCCGGAGTTCATTTCCATGGCGGCCCTGCACCCCCTCCCTTATAGAACATGTAGTATGCATTGTGATGCCATTAACATGGCAATTTAACAAATTACTGAACAGATTTTTTAAATTGTCAACACAGTTCAGAATCTATCAAAGTTCTGTATAACATTATCTTTCAATCCTCGTCCTATCAATATTAATTAAATGTCCAGAGGCCGAACTTAAAGAATTTGAGCCTCGACTCAAATTTGAGCTTAAAGTTGATATATCATAATACTCTTTTAACTGCCTGAGTAATACAAAATGTCTATTGGAAAAATTATAAATTTCAGTTTAAGTAACTTGAATTTATGATGCAGGAGTGAAACTGACAGAATTAAAACAATTTTAAGAGAGATAACTACAAAATCTAATGATATCTCACTCATTACTTCGCAGATATAAGGGTACTATTGTGAATCAAGCCTGCAATACTTGAAGCAACTGTTATTATTTATGTCTTTCAACAAATAGACATGCTACAAATGACGTGAGGACGTGTACTGCAAAGTAAACAATAACATTAAATATCCAGACGAGAAAGGGAAGCAAATTACAAAGATAGAATTAATTTTGCGCTTTTTTAGGTGACAACATTCATAATTCATGAAGTCTGCATACAAGAAATTTAAATGTATAATTTCACAGTGCATAGAATACTGTTTAATTCATTATTTGGCACTGTACATTGTAATGTACGCTGTACAATGTACATATTTGTAAACTTTATTTGCATAGTTCTTGTGTTGTACAGTTTAAATGTAAAGAATAGCTGTTTAATGTCCATAGGCAGGTTTCCAAATATTGATTTCATATCGGTATTTTCAACACTTAAAATCAACTAAACCACATTATTTATTGGGATTTATTTTGGGGAGCATTGAACGTTCTAGAGATAATTATAAAAGTTATATGTTAGCCATTAACAGCTTTGTTTTTTTTTTAATGTTAAGCCAAACAAGTCTAAATGGAATGGATTTCAGCCAATACAAAATCAGTCTTCAAGGATGGAAGAGTGGAAATCCTTCCAGAAACTACAATAGGAAGCTGATATAGGGTCCGGAGAGAGTTCAGTTCCTGAGATTTAGGATCTGAAGGAAGTCCAGTCTCTGATATAGGATCTGGAGGGAGTCCAGTCCCTGATAACGGATCCAAAGGGATTCCAGTCCCCGAAAAAGGATCTGGAGGGAGTCCAGTCCCTGAAATAGGATCTGAAGGAAGTCCAGTCTCTGATATAGGATCCAAAGAGAGTCCAGTCCCTGAAATAGGATCTGAAGGAAATCCAGTCTCTGATATAGGAATCCAAAGGAAGTCCAGTTCCTAACATAGGATCCAAAGGAAGTCCAGTCTCCAAAATTTACCCAATTGGAAGATGTTTCTTCCCCTTGAGTTTATCAATGATATTACAGATCTTGAGAGCTGGACCCAGCTTTAACCCCAGATACTTCATCATCATACTCGAACTCAGGAGCAACAGGGCGTTCCCTACAATAAAACAGGGATAAAAATTACTTTAAAAATAATTTCCCCTATTTTTTATTATTATTATTTTCCCCCTTAACCCAAAAAAATACTTTTTAAGTTTATCCCCTAAATAAGGACATTTTTTTGTTGTATTGAAGTATTGAAAACAGAACGGGAAAAACTTGATAGTTGACGTCTCCACATAAACCCTTGATTAGTTAAAGGAATTGAATTGGAAAACCCTTAATACTGATAACTTAATCTTAATATCCAATGTGGACACTTTTAATTTATGCTTAATCCGCTCTTTTCCCCTCTTTATGGATATCCCTACCAGATTCTGATAAATCAGAGTTCTCAAATTAAATTACGCACAAAAATGTCAAATTTTCTGGCTTCTGATTCTGCTTACACCACTCTGATTGGTTGAATTTTGGAAATTTTTTAAAATGATCTTAAGATTAATAAAAAGAGATCAAACATTGATCTCAATATCCACAATTCCTAAGTTTTCAGCTCTGAATCTTTACTGTTGAAATAAACCCCAACATTTTGTTTGTAATATCAAACTACCGAAATATTTTCGAAATTAAGGACTAATTCTTTTAAATTACTAACAGAATGTCAGATCATAACTCATGAGCCCCTTGCTTTTGATTGGGAAATTTGGTAGAAAAACGGAAATGTTCTGAGCTTGGTTTGAAAACTCTAAGTTGACTGGGTTGGTTGACTTCTAAAGCAAAAGTTAAGTTTCCATATAAACCTGAGGTCTAAATCTAAAGAGATAAAAAACTTCACTTATCTCTCTCAAAGCTTAATTTGAACCCGATCATAATAAGACTAAGAGGTAAAGAACTGCAAGATTTGGTCAACCAAACAATTAAAAAAGTTTCTTTTTAACTACTTGTAAACTTGTAATTCGAAAAAAGCTTGCTAACAATTAAAACGTATATAAAAATGTCGTCTTCATTATATTGGTAAAATCGGCAGACTAGTAAAAAGTTTACCATCAATCTCATGTGTTCTGAATGCTTCCACGTGTCCAGCAAGTGATGGGTCAAGCTTAGATATATTAGCAATAGTTTCCTCTATATTCCAACTACCAGGATCAGTTAATTCCTACAAAAAATCAATTAATTTTAGATCTACTTCTGTAGTCAGCCCTAGAAATAATATTCATCATCGGCTTTTAGATAGTTGATAACACTCTCTTTCAAAAGTACCTATAATTAAAAGTATATTATATATTAAAGGGACTGTCATCGAAATATTTAATGTTATTACCAACAATATTCGTAAACTGATCTAAATACATATGAAAGATGATTGTAGTGCTAAACCATATCGCAAGCAACTCAGTAATTTTTCTGTTTAATATTAAGCATCAATCAATCAATCATTCGCTTTCAGATTTAGCATGATGCTGTATTTATTGTTCATATTGTAACATAATAAGAGTAATGCCATATGTGTCCTAGGCCTCTTTTATCAATTTGTTTATTAAATCTTTTTATGTGTTTGTCACACTTTTGTACGACCTCAATAAAGAATCATCAAGTTTAATCCAGTGCTTAGGATCCGGATCCGTTGGATCCGCAAGATTTTGGCTTCCTGGATCCGGATCCGCAAAAATATGCGGATCAACGGATCCGGATCCAAGGGGTAAAATATCAACCAAAAACTGCAAAAAAACTTTTTTGCTTCTAAAACCCAAATCTGAACTTTTGAAAAAAGAGAATATACAAATTTTCTCATTTCTGAATGGTTCATAAAGTTTTAGGATAAAAATAAGCGAAAAAAAAAATTAAACAAAAAATTTGAAAACTATATTTTGTTAAAAGAATTCAGTAAATCATTGAAAATGATCCAGTGCGGATCCAGGATCCGGATCCTAAGCACTGGTTTAATCATTTTCAATCAATTTCATTCTCATTAGTGATGTGCGTCTCACTACTGCGCGTCCAGTGCTTTCCATTAAATTTAATTTTCAAGAAAAGTTTTCTACAGGTTCATTACCGTATAACGTTCTTGCTATATTATTACTAACAATGCGAAATTATGTAAGGTTCTATAGTTTACTGGGTGACCAATAACCAGCTAAAAAAGAGGGGTACCCAAGACACCTCCAGTTTTCAGTTAATTATGGTACTAACCTTCTGCTGTTTCTGCTGTTCTTCGCGAGCCGGGGGTAGAGGGGTCTGAACAGGAGGCTGATGCTGTTTTGTTAGACGTTGCATTGGATGGTGAATAGTCTGGGGTTCTTCAAACTGCTGTTGTTGGATCAACAGCTCCTGCGGATGCTGTAGCTGCTGTATTTGTTGTTGTACTATGTGTTGTTGCTGTTGGCGAAGCTGCTGTTGGTTGTTGTGGGTTGAGAATGACTGTTGACTGATAGGTTGGTTTGGGTAGCCAGAAACATTCATAGGTACCGATGGAAAACCCTAGAAATAGGACAAAAATAACAAAAATTCTGATTTTGATAAAAAATTTATAGTTCTCAACTTAAAATGTGTATTAAGACTTCTATCTATTTATTGATAAGTGGTTAAATATCGTCATGAAGACGACTCCAAGGGATGTACAGTACTGCTGACTTTTGCCGCAACACTTTCCTACCTCACTTCTCACATGTAAGACACCTTTCCGTCTCTACTTCACTATCCTTCTAGTACCCGGATTGACAACTACTCCCTGGCTCCTTTCTCTTTACTTGTTAACCCTCCTTCCCTCCATTCCTTCGCTTCTTTGTTTTATTAGGTTTCCCTCCAGGGGTTTCTAGACTATTTCTCTACCCTATTGACCTCTAACTCTTTACTTCCCCTGGTCAATTACCTATTACCTACTTATACTCTCTTAAACCTTTAGCTCTACTGTCCAACGCTGTACCAAAAATTTACTAGGCAAACACCCTATGGTGCTGCTAGACCTGTTGACCGGCTGCTCTGCGCTCTTCAGCTCTCTCTAGCCCACTTCCTTCTGCCTATTTCTTACTACTTCCTCCTACTTCTTTCCTGCAGACATTTGTACTTCCCAGGTAGAGTCTGTTCACATAAAATATCTGGGTCCCTCCTTCCCTACCTGTGAAAAAAGACCTACCTCCCATGATTATACTATCCTGGGAGGTTGCTCGTGATATATTAAGAAATCAATTTTATTTGTATTAATTGGCCATTTTTCTTTCCTTTACCTGGGTTTGAGAAAATGGATTTGGAAATCTATCCGCAATCGTTGGTGCTGACAATTGGGATAAAATATTGGGATTGGTTCCAACAGTTCCTCGGTTCTGATTGGCGGGAGCCATTGAGACTCGGTTCTGATTGGTTGGAGGACCAGCTGTCCGGTTCTGATTGGTTGAGGCGGATAGAGGAGCTCGATTCTGATTGGACAAAACTGATGTTGTCCCAAGATTCTGATTGGTTGGGCGAGACTGAACCAGATTTAAATCGGAACCGGTAGACATCTTAAAAAAATACTTCATTCATACGGCCATTCATATTTGTAAGTTATTCCGTCATTAAACAAGTGTTATTTATTTTAGTTAAAGATAATTGGAATTAAAATCTAGAAAATTTAAGAACTGATAACTGGCAAATTAGGAGTGTCAGGTATTTACCCAAAGGTATTCTCCAAAGGCATTTTCTTCCCAAGTGAAAATTTCCCAAGGGGCAACTTCCCAAATGTGCAATTTTTCAAGCAGCAACTTCCCAAAGGTTATGTTAAAGGCTAGGGGCCGAGCGCTGCGGCTAGGAAAGACTTGGGAAGCTGTAGTTGGGAAATTGCACATTTGGGAAAATGCCCTTGGAAAGTACCTAACATCAAATTAGGATGGTCTTAGCTGTGTTCTTAGATCAGTTTACAGAAACATAGAATTGACATTGAACTAGTTGTCACGAACAGTCCCTTGTATTTCTATAATTTACCTGACTATGAATACTTTGTCTTGGTAGCGGCATTGCGGATAGAACCGGCATGGGCGGGGACAATGGGAGGGAGGGGGCGGGCTGGGTGCTAGGGAGGGAGGCCAGGGAGAGAGGAGTTGTTATATTAGAGGTTATGGGTGGGGGAGGATGGGTTAGTGGGGTGGTTGGAGGATGGGTGGAGGTTAAAGAAGGAAAGCTGGGTTTTGAACCCTTATCATTCTCAACCTGGCAGCAAAAAAATAATGAATTATCATCATTTATAAAAAGCAAACTTATCCTCAGCTTGAGTTCATGATTCATTATTTATGGTTTGATTATTAGCACAATAATACTATGCTATTGTTTTAAAGTTTGGGCGGTTTACTTTTCATTTTATTATTAATGTAAAATTAATTTATTTCTAATTTCTTTTCAAATTTTACCTGAATTGGGCTTCCGTCTGGTTTAACTAGCTGCCGGGCTGCCTGCTGAGCCTGTAATAATTAGTTTTTAAAAATTTTCTGTATTTGTTTTTGTCAATAAAAAATAGGAGTTTCTGCAAGATACCAAAAAGTAAAATTTTTATTAAAAAAGGTGCGCAGAGCTGAAAACTCTTAAATTGTGGATATCGAGATTAAAGTTACTTTTGCAGAAATCGAACAGCCTAAACTCTTCAATGGTCGGAACCCAGTAGGGATATCCAAATTTAGAGAGTATCAAGTAGAAAATCAAGTGTACACCTGGGATGGATATCGAGATTAAGCGATCGGAATTAAATGTATCCATTCTCTAACACAAAAATTCCCAGCTCAGAGGCCGAATTAAAAAAATTTATGCCGTGGATCTAAGGAATTTGTGTCTTAAATATAGTTGGTTCCACTTAAAATTGTATTTAATTTTTTAATATTTAAGCCGGCGCTCAATTCAAACCGGTTTTTGGAGGATTTGAGACAATGATAATATTATTTATTTATTTATTTAATTTTGGTTCGGTTTTTAAACACTAAAGATTTCTACATCTAAGATTTAAATATTTCAAAACTGCTCAGTGCTGTCTTTGTTCCACTCAAAAATGTTCTCCAACAAATGATGAAATTAAAAAACTAACCAACCTAAGTAAGAAATTGCGGTATGGTTCGGTCATAAGATGTTTTCTTGAAAAATGAACCAAAGGCAATGAATTAAAAAAAATACCTGAAACATTTTGTGTGCGTTGTGATAAATTGGAACCCGCTTCCCGCCACCGCCGCCGCTGCTAATCGCTGTCATCATCTGCTGCTGTGCGGCCGTTGCCAGCTGTCCGATCGCTGTCTGCTTCTGCACAGTCGGCGATGGTGTTTGTCTGTCTGATTTTTTATCCTTCTTTTTATCTAATTTGAGGCGGGTAAGGGACACCTGAACCTTAATAGTATTATACATTAACTTACATGTTTTTAAAAAGTAATATAATATTATATTTTAAAATAAACTTTATATTTATTAAAAGTAAAAAAAATACAAGGTGATAGTGTCAAAACGGAGTGCAAGGCAAAAAAACTAGAGGGGGGAGGCCCTGGCCCCCAACCCCCTCCGACCAATACTTTTTGAGCCACCTCAGAAGGAAATAAACCAAAAATGTTATTTTTTAGGATAAATTTTGTAAAATCTACCTACCTTTGAATAAAACATCTCGCATCTCAACTCTTCAAATAAAATCTCCATAAAATCCCAGAAAGCGGATTCTGTTTCTATCAACGGTAACCTAGATAATAAAAATAATCTATATAATGTAGTAATCTTTGTTTATTTTTTTGGTTATTTGTGTGGATGACCGATTTGCCACAAATTATGATTGGGAAACTCTGGAGAACCACGGGAATGTTCTTAGCTTGGTTTACAAGTTCTAAGTTGAGTGGGTCTAGTATCAAAAGGGCAAAATAGCTAAAATCTTGCTTTAAAAAAAACATTTCCCCTAGTATCTTTGATATATTTTCCCGGAGCGTGATTTATTTCTAGAATTTTTTATTTCTTGAGAGTTTTAATATAGCAAAAGTGATGAAGGATCATAAACCTGGGATGTAAAAAAGTTTATAAACCCGGTATCTAATGAAGATTATAATCCCGGAATGTATTGAAGATTATATAACCTACCTGACAGTCTGCATCTTCTCCTCGAAGCTAGCGGTGATGATCACTTTCCCCTCCCCCTTCATCAACATAATCTTAAATAGAGGAGTGAGGCTGGGGGGAGGGGGGTGGGTGGACAGGATCATGAATAATTCAACCAAATTATTTATTGATAAAAAAACTGAATTATTGATTGATTTACTGGCTGGTGAATTGATTGGTTGAATGATAGATTTCTTGACATTTTCTTAATAAGTTTTGACTGAATAGTGAATACCTAGATAATTGATTAACTATATTTTTGATAGATTGATTGATTAATAGATTATGTTAAGGTTCCTGTCTAAGAAGTCCAAATATTTGTTTTTGATCAACAGCTGAATCCACCAGTTTCTGGACAGACTCCCTGATAGATAGATAAATATTTAAATAGAAAGATAAATAATTAGATATTTAGATAGAAAGGTAGGTAGATAGATAGAAATCTAAATAGAAAGGTAGATAAATACGTAGGTTGGAAGATGGGTAGATAGATATATTAATAATATCATTATCATTTTTATTAAGACAACCCTGCATTAGGCGAAACGTATCCATGGGTCCCGCGATTCCCTGGAACACGACTTACAACAGGCAAGCAAGGCCTTAGCAACTCCATTTCTGGAAACTCTTTAGGTGCCAGGCGGACTTCCCGAAGCAGCTCCATGCATAGAAATTTAAATAGATGGAGAGAAATTTAAAATACATAGATAGATAGATAAATGGAAAGGTAGATAGGTAGATGGGTAAATAAATAGTTAGATATTTAAATAGATAGATAGATAAAAGGAAAGGTGGATAGTTAGATGGGTAAATAAATGGCTAGATATTTAAATAGATAATTATATAAATAAATAGAAAGGTAGATAGGTAGATGGGTAGATAGATTGTAGAATGGTTATTAAATAGCGAGAAAGATTGGATGGAAGGATACAAAACAAGGATAGCTTAAAGTCAGCCGGGCTGTGTAGTAATGGTCAAATAACTGAATTGATGAAGTAGGAATAAAACTCAAAAATATGTGAATGAAAGAAAGGATGAATATTGAATATATGAAAGAATGAACTACCTGAGAACCCGATGAATGGGACCTGGTCCAAATATGCCTGGGAGGACCACCACCTTGGCAGGGTCCAGAAATGGACCACAACCTCCTCGAGGGGGAGGAGATACATGGACTTCTACCTGGACCGGAGTTACTCCGTTCCTGGATCAAAATAATGAAAATGTAAAAAAAAATTAATGGCAAATTTAAGTTTTTTAGTATTTATAATTGAATTTGAGTTCAATAGTATTTTATGTATTTTATCTGAGAGACTACGAAAATGCCAGAGGACCTTTTCTTTTTCAAGATTTAAAAAAAAATGAAACTTAGAATTTGAAGAAGCAAATCAATCAATTAATATTCAAGCTATTTAATATTACAATTTCTGGCAAAATATTAAAATTTTTGAAACAATAACAAAAAGACCCATTCAGAATGTTTTATGGCCTTTTTAAAACTCAAGATTTATTTTCAGTAGGTAGTAATATTTGAAGCACGGGGTATATATTTTCTGGGAAAATCATTCCCCCCGCCTTAAAACTCCTTTTTTTGTCCCAACATATCAGGACTCGCAAGATGTTTTTTTTAACGGAAAAACCGGAAAAATCAATAATCAAGAAGAACATTTGCTTGATTTTTGTGTAATAAGTATGAAAAGGGGGAAAGAAAAAAACATCAACATTAAAGTCCATCTAAAATTTTTTTCCCACCAGATTGTCGAAAATAATTTCTTTGGAAACCAATTACATCTATTTTATCCTTAAAACACACAATTTTTTCGGAGAAATGTTTTTTATATTTTTTTGTCAAGTTAAATTTTGTTTTAACTTACCCTGTGGTATTAACCCTGTTAAGTCCTGTGCTATCCGGTCCTGTCCCCCCCGCCTTCTCCTTCACCTTCTTCTCTGGGGACACATCCCGCCGGGGGGACGGCGGGGCTAGGCGGGGAGAGGAGGAGGGGCCGGGGGCCTGGGCCCGAGGGGAGGTAGATGGGGCGGAGCACGGGCTTCCAGGGTCAGAGTTTAAACTGAAATTACAATTGATCAATCAATCATTCTGTCAATCAATCAATTAAACAATGATGCATAATGTATATATAATCAAATCATAAAAAGTGAACCATAAAAAAACTAAGGAAACTAAATCAATAAAAATAATTCAATAATCAATTAATCGATCAATCAATTAATCTGTTCTGACCTGTGATTAATTCTTGCCTTCCCTGGAAATGTTTTCTGCCCCGGAGGTTGTAGAGGGTGGCCGGAGCCATGGCACCAACCACACGGATATATATCTCTACTATCATATCTAAATATTGATGAATAGGTGAATGAATGAAGGAATAAATGAATGAATGAATAAATGAAATTAAAGTTTATTTTATTGACTTAAATCAGAAGATTAAGGGAAAAATTGTTGGATCCGGATCCAGGGAGTTAAAAAAGGACAGAATCGGCTCCATTAAAAAGATAAAAGATCCTCAAGCTGAAGTATTGAAGTTGTTACCGTGTCCAGTAGTCGAAGGCTCCCTTCCATCCGTCAAATGTAACGTGAAACATGTCTCCTGAAAAGAATCATAAAAATAAAATAATAAAATAATTATTGGTTTTAAATGAATAAATGAATAAATGAATGAAATAAAGAAATAAATGAAAGGATTTATGAAAGAATAAAAGAACAAATGAAAGAATGAATTTAAGGATTACTAAATGAATGACTTGGTGAATGAATGAAAGAACAAATGAGAGAATGAATGAATATAAGGATGAATAATAGATTAAGGATGAAAGGATGGATAAATGAATGAATAAGAGAACAAATAAATGAAGGAATGAATGAATGAAAGGATGGATAAATGAATGAAAGGATGAATAAATGAATAAGAGAACGAATGAATGAATGAATGAATGAAAGGGTGGATAAATGAATGAATGCAAGAATGAATAAATTGATGTATGAAAGAATGAATAAATAAATGAATGAAAGGATGGATAAATGAATGAATAAAAGAAAGAATGAAAGGATGAATGAACGGATGAATGAAAGGATGAATGAAAGAATAAATAAATGAATGAATAAGAAAACGAATAAATTAATGAATGACAGGATGAAAGGATGAAAGGATGAATGAATGAATTACTGAATGAGAGAATGAATTAGGCTGAATTAATGAATGAAAGATTAAATGAATAAAAGAATGAATGAAAGGATAAATTTATGAATGAATGGTACCGTTTACAGCTCCTACTGTAGCACAGCAAATAAGATGAGGATTCTTTTTATCCACAGCTTCTAGCTTCATTCCGGGCTAAATATATGGATATGATTATAAACAGCTTCAAGCTTCATTCCGGGCTAAATATATAGATATGATTATAAACAGCTTCTAGCTTCATTCCGGGCTAAATATATAGATATGATTATAAACAGCTTCAAGCTTCATTCCGGGCTAAATATATAGATATGATTATAAACGCTTCCTAACCAACAAATAATTCATTTTTTTTTTACAATTCAGCGAATTAAACAACTGTTAGCTTAAAATTACCTGAAATTTGTTAGTTTTCGGTCCCACCGGCTCCTTTTTAAAACATCTAAACAGAAAAAGGACTTACGTTGGCAAACAAAATAAAGGGCTATATATTTTCTTTTAAAATACCTAACCCCCCCCCATCCCAATCCAACATCAAAACTACATTTTTTTTGCATAGAATGTTATGTGAGGAGAAAAATAAAGAACAATAAAAAAATTTCTTATTTAAGAACACTACCAACCATAAGTGCAACTGAGATAACCATGCCCCCCGCTCCTGACCCCCCTCTGTTTCCGCGTACGACTCCAACTGACCTTGAAGGACAGTAAACTGCGTCTTTTAGAGTCTTTGCCAAAAATTTCGGCCAGGAAGTTGCATTGAGTGTGAAACCCATGGGAGGTTGCAACATACCGCCGTTCTTCTCACAATGTCCGATCTCATGCAACTCTGTTCACATTATGATTGCAACATGTCAAACATTTTATCAAACCATGCTTGTTTTAGGATAGGAATCCTAATAGACGTAAAAGCAAAACAAAAGGAAATATAAATTGAAGTAATGTTACTCAGGGTTTTTGGTTAAAACTCAGTTAATTGCTTGATTTAGGGGGAAAATAAGAAAACGCCACGAGAAAAAAGTTTTCTACAAAAAATATATTTGTGCATAAAAATGAGTTGCATTCATTGTTGCCTGAGTCGTCAACCATCTTCCAAAAATCATTTTTAGTATCTGATCCGTCCAGTCGTAATCTCACCCTTGGACCAAGCACACCTACGGAATCAGAGTTAGGAATTTATAAATCTGGATAGATTTGATCCAAAGAACTTCAATAATTTTAGAGTTAACTTTGCACTTTCAAGCCTCCCCTCCTCATCAGAAGAATAAGAATGAATAAATGAAAGCTATCAACTTATTAATCAATTTAAAGAAACCTCAACACCATCTTGCGGTAATTTTTTAAACTAAATCTTACCAATGACTGTTGCTATGCAGGCCATCTGTGACCTGGGATCCTGGGCCTCAAGTTTAGAACCAATAGTGAACTCATTCTCAGGGGGCTCAACACTCTAATCAATCAATTAATCAATCAATCAACCAACCAAAAAATCATTTAATCAATCAGTCAATCAATCAACCAATCAAATTATCATTGAATCAATCAGTCAGTCAATCAATCANTCAAAACCCATGAAATAAACTAATTCAAAACCCATGAAATAAACCAATTCAAAACCCATGAAATAAACTAATCATAAACCAATGAAATAAAATAATTCAAAACCCATGAAATAAACCAATTAAAAACCCATGAAATAAACCAATTAAAAACCAATGAAATAAACCAATTAAAAACCCATTAAATAATCTAATTCAAAACCCATGAAATAAACTAATTCAAAACCCATGAAATAAACCAATTAAAAACCATGAAATAATCTAATTATAAACCAATGAAATAAACCAAATCAAAAACAATAAAATAAACCTATTTAAAACCCATGAAATAGACGAATCTAAAACATAAAATAAATCGATTAATCAATGAGTAAACCTGTTTAAAACAAGATGGCGGAGCTGCAGCTGATTTAGTTTCCTTTAAATATTCTTTCCAACAGAACTGTGTCTAGAACAAAAATACAATCAAATCTAAAGCTCGATGGAAATTATTTAAAAAGCTTTGTGGAGAAGAAAGGGAGATGTGAAGTTTTGAACTTTTTAGAGTTTTTTCTTTTACAAAATTCTCCAAAACCGATAATTTAAAATTGAAGAAACACATAGAAGAGTTGGTGGCATGAATTTCAAATCTCAAATTCCTACAATAGTTTAGTTTTGTTGTTTTTTCCTTCAAATAATGAATGAATTAAGGGATTTTTTAAATTTCAAATTACATACATATACAATATATAAATACATACATTAAATAAATATCCCAATGAAAAAGATATTCTAAGGTTGATAAAGAAAAATTAAAAATTAAAATATTTACTTCTGAGAAAAAATGAAAAAAAAATAATGTTTTACCTCCTGTTCTGGGGCACCTTTCTTGGCAGACGGTGATTCTTCGTTCTTAATCTCATTTAGTTCAAGGGGTTCGTCCTTAGGAGCAGGTTTAGGGGTCCCAGGGGAGGCTTTCGGAGGCGCTACTGTAGATTTCGGAGGTGCCACAGATGGTTTGGCAGATTCATTACTTTTTTGGTTGTTTTTGACAGCTTTCCTGTAAGCAGTGAGGCAGGGTTCAGAGCAGAACTCCTTTTTACCTCCTTGCATCGGCAGCACATACTTCAACACCTGCTTCGGCTCCTGTACATTTGATTTTTTTAAACAATTTTTAAAGTTTTTTAAAAATATTTTAATAGACTTGGAGTATTCTTTTTATTTGATATTTCCCACTTAAAAAAACGCATTTACAAAATCAATCAATTATAGCTTTTCCCAAAACTAATGTTACTTCAGTGATAATCAGAAAGCTCTGAAATATGAAGACGACTTTTAGAATCAATTAATGACATTAAAAAGTCCAATAAGCTTGAAACACATTAATTGTGCAGTGTAAACAAACCCATTTCACTAAATTATTGATTTAAAAGGTGTGAAGTAAAACTATTTGCTTTGTAACCAGGTCGAATTCGCTTAAGTTTAGTATTAATGTCGTTTTCCAATTACATTGTTTTCTGGTTATCACTGTATTTCATAAAATCTCAACCTATCATTGTCATTTATAAAGCAATTTTTTCATTAATCATTATAAATATGTCTATGATTGAGCATTTTGCCTGGGTGAGATTTTGGAGTTTTCAATTTCTCATTACGAAAATATCGATTTTCCTTAACGTTCTGTTTGTGTTAAAACTGACTGTACCCGGCTTTGTCCAGACTTTAAAACAATGAGAAACCACAAATAATGGCTTTCCTGAAGATTTCAGCCAATTTGGTACAGTAGCTTGAAAAGCTATAACGAACAACTATACATTTACGAGTAAAGGACTTTATTATATGAATGTTTATAATAGGAGAACATAAAATTACATAATAATAAAACATAGAACCTTTATCTATTGAACCAAATAGATTATCAAGTACAATAGGTAGCAATAGAGAAAGAGATCAATTATACACGACGTCGCAAGTGTCAGATATAACAAGGAAAACGAAATTGTCCCACATTAGTTAACATGTTTTCCAAGATTAAATAAAAAAGTCTAAACACAGAAAATAAAGAACACAGAAAATTGCACTTATTTTACTGTAAGAACACAGCTGTAGTGAGAGTGTACAAATTCTACGCTGCCATCTATTGTACTAGAATCTAATTGTATTGGACAGTTTCTCTTTCATAAATCAAGTTTTTAGTTTTTAGTTTTTTTTTTAAACTAAAGGATGTCAACAATTTTCTCTAAAACAGGACTGTAAGCGTAATTTCAAAATACTCTCCTGTCTCCATGCAAGGATGGCAATGTCCGATTTACAACGGTACCCTTAAATTTGCTTGTGTAAACATGAATTAGTAATCAGTTTTTTAAAAATATTTTTTAACTGTTCATTTTTGTTTGCGATTTCTCTGCAAAAGAGACTGGCGCATTTATTGCTTACATATAGATAATGGACAGATCAGAATTAAACACTTTTCCAAGCCAGAAAAACGACGTTATTTTCCGCATTTTGATTAGATTAAGTGTACCGTTGTGAATCAGACATTGTCATCTTAACATGGAGGGTCACTTGAAATTACGCTTACAGTCCCATTAACGAACCTGGCATTGTGTGCATAGAAGTGAACTTGAGGAAGAGGGTTGATTCATGTTTAATCGTGAACGGTCCCTTTAACAGATTAGTTTCTCGTCAACCCTCCCTTTATCCTTCTCCACTCTAACATTATACAAACATGAGTTAGAATATTCTAATCTTATTTCTGAAAAAACAATATTTCTACTTTGGTATCTGATTATCTATGCAAGAAAATTTGTTTATAATAATTTGAAAAAAAGAGAAAAATTTCCACAAAAATAAATTATGCGCTCTGTTCCATTTCTCCTTCTTTCGGCGCGTACCGCCATCTCCACCAGGTCACCTAATCATAATATAAATCAATCAATCAACCATATAATCAATTTTACAAATTCTCAATTTAACAATTCTTAATCAATAACATATCAATTCTCAATTTATCAATTATCAATTCATTAATCCTTAATTCATTAATTCTCAATTTATCAATTCTCAATTTATCAGTTCTCAATTTATTAATTCTCAATTTATCAATTCTCCAATTTATCAATTTTCAATTTATCTATTCTCAATTCATTAATTCTCAATTTATTAATTCTCAATTTATCAATTCTCAATTTTACAATTCTCAATAAAATCAATAAAATCAATAAAATCAATAAAATCAAGTAAATCGAAGATGAAAGAGACCTTCATTCTATCCCAAACTGCGTCTAAAGAGTCTAGAGCAGGTCGCACATCAAGCTGGGCAAACCTGTGGGAGCCAGGATCAAGATCACCGTCATAATAATCAATTACGTACCTTCAAACAATTATATTTTAAGGCTGGGGTTCAAAAAAGGACTGTTCGTGATTACAAATTTACAATCAAATCAGAAAATTGGCCGTTCTATTCACAAACATCTTTAACTATACAATAGTCGTTAATTTATCTTGAAAAACGCGTATAATTCCGTGACTTAACTCCTTTAACCTTCAAACACACAATAATATATATATATATATATAAAAAGACTGAAAGCATGTTTTAAGGAACCCCCCCCCCCTTGTCGTCTTTTTTCCATTAGGAAAGTGCAATTCTGTCAATTTCCTTTTTTTCAAACTCTGGTGCCTTAATCAGGAAATCCCTTCTATAAAAATATAATCAAAAAATTATCTATTTTCAGATAAAAATGATTTTTAAAGAGGGCGGGATGAATTTAAAGAAAATATACACCCCTGACTCAAACTTACCTAACATCTTTTCCACATCGGTCAATAATCCAGTCATGACGATCAAAGGGTAGTTCATATCCCATCCACCCTCTAATTAACAATCAATCAATCAATCAATCAATCAATCATCAATTAACAACAGATGTAATAAAAGAAAAATGATCAAATTAATGGATGAACAATGTTGTTAGTCTATAAATTAAAGAATTAATGGATTTATTACACGATTAACAAATATTTCTCATTAAAAATCAAATCGTCTACAGAATTATAAGTAGAAGAGGAAAACAACGTATTTACAGAACAATATTCCGCATTTTTTCTCTTGTAAAGTAAAGTTGTTTAGTGCTTATGATTTTTTGAATTGTGATTCTGATCCCTATCTTGATCCTAGATTCTAGATCCGTCTTGCATAAAAATGGATCCTGATTCTAGATCCATCCTGATCCTAGATCCATCCTCTTGAAAAGTGGATCCAGATCCCAGCACCTGGACTTTTCTTTCACCAACAAATCCATAATTTTCTTCTTTTTTGGATTTTTTGTATTTTTTCTTGAATCACTATCCAATGATTAGGAAATTTATAATCGTATCTCATTAGGAAACACTCAATATAAATGTAATTTTTTTCATGTTTTTGTTTATATTTGCTGATGGTTCCGGATCCAACTAATATAGTTTTGTTTTATACGCGATTATGTTACCTGACTCGGGCCCTCGGTGAAAAATCCTTTGCTTTCCCGCCAAAACTTTTCAGTTTAGGATTCCCGCATTCTCTACTCAAAATATATTTTTGTCAACATTTATCTCCATTGCAATTTATAAAAGATAAAAATTTAAAAAACCCAAATACTTTTGAAAAATCGCCCCCCCCCCCCTTCTCATTTAAGTACTTCCTGTCAGGCTTCTTGTTTAATTACCTGGCATGAAGTGCTTCCCATTTTAGTACTTCTTGCCAGGCAGATTCGTTATTGGCGTTATGAATCTAGATAGTTCAACCATTGTGTAATCAAAACTAAAAATTATAATTATTAAAAAAGGATCTTTCAAAGGAAGTTCAGATTTCAGACTCGGAAGGTTTTAAAGTTTCGGAGTTTTAAAATGGTTGGTTTCCTTAATTATATGATCCATATCCTCCTGTTTAATATCATCGGGACCAAAACTAAATCAATCAATCAAACAGTTAGTAAAACAATCAATCAATCAACGGCCATATCAAATTGGCAACATGTACATCAACATTCAAACCTCATAGTTTATCTAAGAATCAAAGTGAAGACCAAGAAAGAAATCTCCAAAACGAACTTTATACGAACACAGAAATAATAGAGATATGAAAGGGAAATCGGCATGGAACCCCCAGACCGGGGTCAGGAATATATCCGGGTTCACGGCACCATCAATATGTCATTCAATATTAATCAATCAATCAAATAGGTAGGTAGGTAGGTAGGTAGGTAGGTAGGTAGGTAGGTAGGTAGATAAATTAGATATGGCTAGATACAGGGGACATTAACTTAACTGTATATTTATCTTTTATGAGAAATATCTTTCATTTCAAGCTGAGTAGAAAACAAAATACTGCATATATATTTATTAAAAATGAGAATAATTATATATTGAACCAAAAAATGTCAATTTTAGGCTTTCCATAAGATGTGAGAGTGAGAGAGATAGATATAAATAGATGAATTAGGTGAAGGTAGGTAGGAAGGTAGAATACATATAAAATACATAAATAGATAGATATATAGATATATAATTATCAATAAAGTACATAATTTTACATAGACATATTTTTTAAACTAACACTTTAATGACGGGATTTGCCAAGCCAACATTGGCCGTCTTTAATATATAAATAAATTATAAATATATTACTTTAGGTATAGATGATTGCTGCCTAACTATAGGAAGAGGAAAGGGTTGGTTAGGCGAAGGTTGTTGGTTGGGAGGAGGCATCATGTTGAGAGGATCCATATCTTTACCATCATCAGGCACTGCTAGCAGTACAGGGGCAGAACTCGGACACTCTGAGAGTAGATAAAGAGACTGTAGACATAATTTCAACTAACCCTTCTATTTAAAGAGTGACGTGTCCGATTTACAACAGTCCCCTTTAAACCTTTATCTGATCAATAATAAGGAAGATAATGTCATTTTTCCACGTTAAAAGTGTTAAATTCTGATAATTTCTGTATGGTTTCCTGCATTATAAATGCGTAAGTCACTTTTGCGAACTACCATAATAATTCTTTAAATTAAACATCAAATATTTCATTCATACTTACTTAGACTTATACTTTAAGGGTACCGTTGTGGATCAGACATTTCCAGCTTTGAATGGAGGGTCAATTGAAATGACGCCTACAGTTCCAAAGGGACTAACGACAAAATTTAAAACGACCTTTCTATTTAAACAGAGACGTGCCCAATTCACAATGGTACCTTTATCTGCGCAAAAACTACGTTTTTCTCTCTGTAAAGCGACTTTCTACAGCAGAAACAAGGAAGACAATTTAGAGAATTGAGATCTTTAAAAGATAGGAAAACAGCGTTATCTTCCTTCTATGTATACACTTTGCTTGTCTGTCTGTTTGTTTGTATCCAATAAACGTCAAAACGGCTAAACCGATTAGGGCCAAATTTTGTGTTGGACCTCACATGACCCCAGGGAAGGTTTATGAATGATCAAAATTTTAAAAATGTGTGTTTAAAAGTTTTTTATTTAGTAAAATTTTGAAAATATGCGAAAAATATCTTTAAATCTGCAAACTTTTTTTATTTTTATACTGTAAAAAGAGAAGATACAAATACAAATAAAGCCACAATTAAAAGTTTAAATAGAAGACGGACACGAAAAGCCTAGTTTTAGTAAATCCGATAAGGGTACCATTGTGAATCGAGCATGTAGCGCGTTTAATGAAGGGTCAATAAAATGATGTCTATCAGAATACATCGAATGCTTTAACATTTTAATTGTTTAACTAAGCGATATAAAGCATGCAATTGATGCAGAAAAGTTCATTCAGTTCTTTGTAAAATTTATCAGACAGTGTAAACCGAAATTTTATAATTGTGAACTTCAAATTGATATTCAGTGCTGCAGTGCTCAGCTTGTTAAATTTATTAAACCCAAACAAAAATTCTATTTTATATACAGGGTGTCCCACGAAACATGACAGTTGGTGAATAGTTTAAAATGACTTTTTCCATTATTTGTTCAGTTGTTTGATACCAAAGATCAATGAAAATATTATATGGGAGTAGGTCCATAAAAACAATATTAACCTGATTGCCAATCATCCTTTGCTGATTCCGCTGGCACCTCAGCCCGCAGATTCAGCCAATTAAACATTTTAAGTCTAAAAAAATAACATAATAGTTTATGTGACAAATTAATTTATTGTAAATAAATTTTTTTCTTTATTCTTTACAAATATATATGTAGTTCAAAAATGCATATTAAAACAAATAAACGATACTTAAATGGCATGTTTTGAAAAGCTTTTCACTTTTGAGTCTCAAATTCACCAAGATGTTCGTACAAGAAAAAAAATATTTTAAATGAATGTATAAAAAACTCTCTGAATGAATTTTGAATATTACTGAAAATTAGTAAATGTAGCCACTGGGCCTATACTTTCAATTATCAGGAGGGCCGGGGATGTAAATCTAGTCTTAATCACCAATAAAACAGAACCAAAACAAAATTTAAAAAAAATGAGAAATCTTGACGAGAAAATAAGAATTAAACTGCGATATCAAGGATCTTGAAAATCAATATATCCAGAGATTCAGATAATTTAGGCTATTCACCCATTTTTTCTTGATTTATCGAGCATCAAATTTCCGTTTCATTGGATATCGGAACACATCTTCATGTTTCTTCTTTTCGATTTTCATCCCAGTGAGCTTCGAAGAGCCCCTGGACTCAATCATATTGTAGATAACCATGAAGTACTTAACAACTGACCTACCCATTCTCAGCCTAGAACTGTTGTCCAAGTGGACCATCTCCTTAAAATCATCATCATTCCATAGTGATTCTCTGAAACCGATCATGCTCTCCATGATGTTTCTGGGACCGTACATATTGGGGTCTGAGGCGCGAGTCCTCATCCCCCAGGTGTGGAAGAGGGGAGCGTAGAAAGAACTGGAGGAATTGTTGTCCGCCCTGTTCAATTCTCGGATAAACCCTGTGAGACTGGATAAAGTCTCAAACCTGTTGTCTTGGACCGGCCTTTCCTCGCTAGGTAGGGCTACTACTTTAGGCGGATAAGGCGGAGTCGATACAGCAAAGGTACATTTATCCCCTGCTTCAGGAGCTCTCTTCAGAGAGATGACGTCCTTTTTGAAATTCTCCAGATCTTCCTTGATTTGCTGAAAGGTTCTTCCTCTCATTACATCGTTCAGGCATCCAACCAGCAGCACATCTATAGGTCTATATGACGAGCTAAACTCCGCCATACAGGCGTGATGCAACATTTTTATGGTAGCTCCGGGGATAGCAATGATGTCAACATGTATATCGTCTCCTAGGTAGGTATTCTCTCCTCTATTCCCCTGCCAATTGTCGAGGATGGATGAAGTGACTAGAACCGGATGCCGGATACCGGTTTTGAACGAGTGTGGAGTAGCTTTACAGGAGGTACAGTTATAAACAGCCCATCGGTTTGACTCAGAGAAGATCCGGGTGTCCTTTGACGAGTTATGTGTGTGGGAGATGATTTTACCTTTAGGGCAGACTGAGGAAGTGGTTTCAGAACAGATATTACAGTAACCTTCGGTGTGGCCATACTTGTCTCTGATCTGCTGGTAGTTCTTTACTTTAGATTTCATGAAAGCATAGAACTCACTTGATTTTCTACTCTTGCTAATTTCTTTCATCTGTTCTGCTAGATTTTTCCTAGGATTCAGGGTCTCTGCTGGATACAGATCTGATCCATATCCAGGTGGGATGCATGGTGGTGGTTGGCTTAAGTCTGGAAGTTCGAACCTTAGAGTTGTCGGAGATTTTCCAGGTCTGGGAGGTTTATGATACATCTGTAATATGAATGCAATTAATCTCTTCGACACTATTGATTAGAGTAAAAAAAACAACTTATTATTATTATGTAGAATACTATTATTTGCTTTTCGCAATCCACTCTATTCAAAGGTAAAAGTAATAAAATGAACCAAAATGAATCAAAACTGAAAAAATATAAATAAATAAAGCAAAAAATTTCAGATTGTATAAAGAAATCCTGACCCCAACGAAAATGATTGATTGCCTAAATGATTGATTTCTTTATTGATTGATTTCCTTAGTAATTGATTTCCTTATTGATTGATTGCTTTATTGGTTTTATTATCTTATTTTCACTTTATTGCCAATTGATTGTCTGACTGTTTGGTTTGCTGGTTAAATGATTATTGTCTAGATGAGGTTTGGTCTACAATTAGTTAATCTGTTCATTGGTTTGCTTTCTTCACTTTTTATTAAAAATTTGTTCTTCCTAAGCTAATACATTTTTACTTAATGAGGTAATTACAATTAATAAAATATCAATATTGACGCAAAATATTACATTTTACGCACTTTATTTCAGAGAGCGTAGACTGGAAGCCATCTCTACATTTTCGGACGCATCTGACGTTTCCTCCAACGATTTATCAGGACCTGAAGACGGTAGGAAAAATGGGCCCCCGCCCCCCATCCTATCAAATTTGTACATGGATCTTACATGTAACACATGTGCGGGGAGGGGGCCCATTATTTATTTGTCTTAAGATTTAAACATGAAAATTCAAATATCACTGTTTGAAATCTGATTTCAGTCAACTTAGAACCTTTTTCAGAAATTACATATTGTTCTTTTGGTCCATTTATAATACATTTCTTCGCTTTGGCCCGACAAGCATTGGTCTTAGGACGTCAAGGACGGGTAAATTAAAGTTTAGACAAAAATCTATATGACCCCCCCTCCCCCCTTCAATGTATCAAGGTAAATTCTGTTAAAATTTATAAAAATGAGCAGGAAGGGAGGGATGTTTGTGGTCAAAATATATTACCCTGCATTATTGGCAATGGTCATACAAGTCTTAACTCTAAGAAAGATCATATACGGATTTCTGTGCTCATTTCCCAGATGGGCGGCAAAAATTTTAAAATCTCTTTGCGAATTTTATTTGTTAACACTCATTTTGGAATTTGAAATCATGAACGGACAAAATTACGAGTGTAGAGAAATACAAACACAGGGTGGACAATCTTAAATTTAACTAATATAAAACAAGACATTCGTATGTATATATGTTGCGTATAGCCGGCCAAACGACTGGACCAATTGGGCTAAAATTTTTGGGGACACTCAGGGGTGGCCAGGGTGATATAGGCCAAAAAAGATTTTTTTTTCCAAATTTTTTTTTCTTCACAGTATCTTTTTTAAAATTTGTTTGTGCCACGGGCAACGCCGGGCCCTTTAGCTAGTTAACTAATGAGATCTGATTAAAGATGGTTCAAAACGATGACAAAACATTAAAGTATTGATTATTTTACAGATTTATTTAACTGTAGAAAATGTGAATCCTACAGTGAGTTAAACCTTCATCCTGGCTTCTTTATTGTATAAAGGTATTTTTTAATGAAAATATATTAAACTACCAAACTTCATACGATTTTTTGGCGGGTTTATTCGCTGAATTTTAATGATTTTTAAGTAAAAATAAATTAACTTTTGGATAATAAGAACTTCCAATAAAATATTTCTTCTGTTAAAAACTAAACGTTCATTTTGTAAAAAATTATGTTAAAATGTTTTGAATCCCTTTATTACCGTTTTATATTATTGATATTTTTGTTAAGGTTTAGTAATATAATTCTAGAAATGTAATTTCAGGGAGAATTCAGTTACGAAACCAGTTAAAAAAAAATGTGTAATTGAGTTATTTATTGCAAGACAACCTATTAAAAGCTCTAAGTAATAAAAGAAATGCAAAATTGTTCATATAAATATTTTCAAATAAAACGCTGTTATGGTCTGAATGACTTAAGGTGTACACTTTAATTTACGGAATAACCTCTAGTGTACGCAATAATGTACTGAATAACCTCTATCTAGTGAGGAATGGCCGGTGTGTCTGGAACCGGGGATAGTTCTTCTCAACAGTCAACAGCGGATATTGAACCAATGTAAGCAGGGGTTGGTTGGTGGGTTGGTGGGTTGGTAGAGCTATTGCTTATGAAAAGTACTGTAGATCTAATTTAAAGAGTTACATAACTTTATATAGAAATCTAATTAAGGAAGGTATCTTCGATTTTCCATTTAAAAATATGTTGAATTCTGTTTATTTCCTTTGATGTAACATAAATTAATCAATATAACATTTATTATCTTGAAGATAACGTAAACCAACTAATCACTTGGTTTGAGAAGCCACAGTCAAAAATATTAAAGTTTTAGTTAGAAAAGTAAGAATTCTCATTCATCCCTGATCAATGACCAGTCAATAGTTCCAATCAATGATTCCGTAATGAGTCTGACATGCCATTTTTTTTTAATCGAGGGTTTCTTGAAATTAAGTCGTTGTCAAGTCGCGTGTATGGGGGGGGGGGACTTGACCAGTATGTGGGACATTGGTCCTCTCGCGTGGCATGGCGTTCCTTTTTGGATTGCGTCCGTTCTAGAGAGAATCCTTATAGAGGTAAAGAAAAGAAATGAATGAAATTGCGATTTTCTAGAACTAAATAATTATTGTTTAAATTGTTTCCAGAAATTTATCAAATGATTTTATCCCAGGTGAATGTGATTCCGAGGAAGAACCTGGAAAAGAGTTTACTAAAACTCAGTTTAGAGCTGCTAGAATACGACAGGAAATATTATCTATTCAATTATTCAATTTTTTGACTAACTTGGACCCATGATTCCACGTTAAATTACTTAATTTAACATTCCGCTATGCGAAGTTTTTGTGAAAAAATTCTTCATTTTCATATCAGACGATAATTTATTTAAACAATGTTCTTAGATAAGAGTACTTCGACCAATTTCGCCTGCAAAACAACCCTCGCTCTAGAAGTTTTTTTTTGGCAAAATTGGATTTCAAATTCCTTTTAAAGTAGTTCCTTGTTTTATTAGATAAAACTTTTGTGTACTTGTCTGTTTCTTTTATTCTATATTGATACTTTATTTTTTGTATTCCCCTAATATTGTTAATAGTATTTTATTCGTCTTTAAATTGTTTAAAGATAGATATTTTTTTATAGAAATATTGTATACATATTTTTTTTAATTGAATTGAAATATATAGAGTTTGTTGTATAAGAAACCTGAGAAAAGGATATCTGTTATATCAGAGAAATCATTAGGAAACCTAAATATTCAAAACTAGAAAAAATATTCTAATAAAGAGACTGTACGTGTAATTTGAAACTTACCCTTTAAACCTGCATCTGAGTTGTAAAAGGAGGAATATAAGAAACAATAATTTCTGAAGGGTACCGTTCTTCGGAATTCTGTTGAGCTAAGTTACTCTTGACGTCAAAGGCATATTTAAATTCTGTGTTGATGATGGTTGAACAGAGTAAATAAAATAGGTGTTAGTTCCACATTTTAGTCTAAGTTGACCCTTTTCAGTTCTAACGATACAATAACCATCTAAATCAATATTTAAACTTGTTAAAAATTCACAAGAAAATAAACAAAACTTTAATGCGCATGCCGATAAGATTAAAAATTATAAAATTCTGCCTTCCCTTCCCAAAGAAGCTCAGATTATTTCTTAAGTAACCTTTTAAAAACATGTCCAGATTCTCGATATTTTAATTAAAATATTTTGAATTTCGGGGTTTTAAAGATTTTGTCCCACTTCCTTTAGAAGATATTTCCCCTGGTCGGGATATCGACGATCTACCAGAAACACAGGTTTTTTATCTTAATTGTTTCTTTTTTATTTATTTTGTATTTAAGAAAAAAATCTCATTCTTACTTTTTTTCACTGAAGAAATATTGTTTTTTGAAGAGCTTGAAACTTTAATATGAATTGATTGAATCACTCAAATGTTTACTGGATGATTTTAATCATTTTGTAATGTTTTTAGCTTATTTTTAAGTTATTTAATTCTTACAAATTTGAAAATCCTATTTCTTAAATCCCAATTAACTAAGAATCCCTACTTTAAGGATCCCTATACGGATTTTGTTCCCCCTGAGGCTCAAGAGGACTCCCCTGGTCACAGTAATCCCTTCCAGGTAAACCATTTTATTTTCATACGGATCCGTCCTGTAAAGAAATACATCCGGATTCGACTCAAGAATATTTCTTAAACTTTTCTAAATTCTCTTCTTTTATTCGCTTATTTTTACACATTTTTTGTATTGGTTAATATTTTGCTACTTTGATCCGGATCCGGAGAACCGCATTTTTACCTAGATCCGGGGAAAGCTTGAAAGGAACAAAAGCGTAATTTCAAGTCCCGATTCACAACGGTATCCTTGAAACCTCATCTCAATAACGTGGAAGACATTGTTGTTTATCTGAATAGTGTTAAAAAATGAATTTCATTATATTGAGGGGGGGGGATGAAAAATAAGACGTAAAAATTGCAACTTTTTTTCATTTTTTGTGATACTTTTTTCCTAAAAATTCATTTAAATTCCCATATAAATCATTTATTCCCCCCCCCCACAAAAAAAATTTGCGTTCCACACCAGCATATATTCTTTGATGGGGGTGGGGAAATTTTTGAGAAATTATGCATCCCTGTCCAGGAGGATTCCCCTCGGGAAAGACGTAAAGGGAAGAAGTTAAAGAAGGAGAAGAAGAAACGAAGAAGAGACTCAGAGGGCAGAAGATCTAAAGATACTAAACGTAGAAAATACAGGAAAATATTTTACCAAAAATAGAATTATTATTAGTTTTGTTTCTTCAAGTTGTTTGTATATAACATAGTCATTCATATCTGACCCCAAAAAAATCTTGGATCAATGTCCGAATTTAATGAATTTAAGCCGCGTCTTAAATCCGCCAAAAAAACCGGTTTCAATTAAGCGCCGGCTTAGATCTTGAAACATTGAATACAATTTTAAGTGAAACCAACCATATTTGAGCGGCGACTTAAATTTAAGCCGCCGCTCAAATTCTTTAAATTCTGTCTCAAGTGTGGATCCGGGTGACCAGTGCCTAGGATCAATTTCATTTCATAGGATCCGGTTGACCCGTGTCTAGGATCAATTTCATTTCATAGGATCCGGGTGACCAGTGTGTAGGATCAATTTCATTTCATAGGATCCGGGTGACCAGTGTCTAGGATCAATTTCATTTCATAGGATCCGGGTCACCAGTGTCTAGAATCAATTTCATTTCATAGGATCCGGTTGACCAGTGTCTAGAATCAATTTCATTTCATAGGATCCTGGAAACCACTATTAGATACGCTTATTTCTTCAACCAAAACACATTTCCAAAAATTTGTTCTTTGTGCTCGCCATTTTTTCGTGGAGAATTTTGATTCACTATTTAATGAATAGAAAGTTTTTTATGATATTTCACCAAAAACTAAAAAGTTATTTTAGATGTTTTGGCAAAATTTTGCAACTTGGATCCTGGTCCAAGGATCCGAATACTTGCAGATTCGGAGCTGAAAAGATCCTAAACACAGCGGGGTTTTCAGTTACCAAAAGGTTCCTTGTGACAATTAAATAAAGTAATACACCGCTCTCTGCAAAGTTTGCCTTTTTTATCTACTTTTTGAGAAATTAGGATTATTTTTTGAACCATATTGGCCCTAGAGAATCCCTCCTTTTTTCCTGCGTTTTAGATTCACCATTGAAATGTTTTGTAGGCTATACCCTTCTTTCTTATACATTTTGTAGCCGTAGACATACACATTTTAAAATTGCAACACGCTTGTTTCTTGTTTAAGTTTATTAGCAGTAATTGGCAACTGCTCGATTTTTGGGCGAGAGCGTGCACATCTGGGTTTGCAGTGATATCTTTGCCTCCTGATGATTAGAAAATCGGAGTTTGTTGCAAGAACTCAGTTCCTTTTAAATTAAGAACAAATAGTAAAGGATTTCGATTGCTTAAACCATCAGAAACTACGCTACAAAATAAAATTTTAAATTTAATTTTTCTAAAACTCAAATTTTAATCCCTTTATCTTTGCATCCTGATGCATCTAACTGCTCTGCTTATCAATGGCCCTATGGCCTCTTTCGTTGCAATTTGCAAAATATTTATCGTCTCTCTCAATAATTATTTCCCATTTTCCCCCCATGTAAAATATTGGTGTCCCGTCCAGTGATGAGGACCGGATTGTAGGAAGTCCTATATCTAGCGGTCCTGACGATATCACTACAGCCAGTCCTATTGTCGGCAGTCCTATCAGCTCAGGTCAGAGTAGGACATTTTAATGTTAACACTTTAGTGTCAGGTCAGAGAGTAGGGCATTTTAGAATAACACTTTAGTGCCTGATCAGAGAATAGGACATTTTAAATAACACTTTAGTGCCATGTCAGAGAGTAGGGCATTTTAAATAACACTTTAGTGCCATGTCAGAGAGTAGGGCATTTTAAATAACACTTCAGTGCCATGTCAGAGAGTAGGGCATTTTAAATAACACTTTAGTGCCATGTCAGAGAGTAGGACATTTTAAATAACACTTTAGTGCCTGATCAGAGAGTAGGACATTTTAAATAACACTTTAGTGCCTTGTCAGAGAGTAGGGCATTTTAAATAACACTTTAGTGCCATGTCAGAGAGTAGGGCATTTTAAATAACACCTTAGTGCCAGGTCAGAGAGTAGGACATTTTAAATAACACTTTAGTGCCAGATCAGAGAGAAGGCCATTTTAAAATAACACTTTAGGGGCAGGTCAGAGAGTAGGGCATTTTAAATAACATTTTAGTGCCAGATCAGAGAGTAGGGCGTTTTAAAATAACACTTCAGTGCCAGATCAGAGAGTAGGGCATTTTAAAATAACACTTTTATGTCAGATCAGAGAGTAGGGCATTTTAAAATAACACTTTTATGCCAGATCAGAGAGTAGGGCATTTAAAAATAACACTTTTATGCCAGATCAGAGAGTAGGGCATTTTTAAATAACACTTTAGTGCCAGATCAGAGAGTAGGGCGTTTTAAAATAACACTTTTATGCCAGATCAGAGAGTAGGGCATTTTAAAATAACACTTTAGTGCCAGATCAGAGAGAAGGCCATTTTAAAATAACACTTTAGTGCCAGGTCAGAGAGTAGGGCATTTTAAAATAACAGTTTAGTGCCAGATCAGAGAGTAGGGCATTTTAAAATAACACTTTAGTGCCAGATCAGGAGATTAGGGATTTTAAAATAACACTTTAGTGCCAGATCAGAGAGTAGGGCGTTTTAAAATAACACTTTAGTGCCAGATCAGAGAGTTGGGCATTTTAAAATAACACTTTATTGTCAGTTCAGAGAGTAGGACATTTTAAAATAACACATTAGTGCCAGGTCAGAGAGTTGGGCATTTTAAAATAACACTTTATTGTCAGTTCAGAGAGTAGGGCATTTTAAAATAACACATTAGTGCCAGGTCAGAGAGTTGGGCATTTTAAAAATTATAAAACTTGCTTATTTATAAACATTAAAGGCTCCTTTAAAGTTTGAATTGATAAATATTGTAAAACATCATAACGAAAAATGTTGATTATTTAAAATTATTTAATCTTGTTAATATTCCAGGAGAAGAAGGTTGGAATTCCAACACGAAATATCGTGATACCGAGCCTATTTTACACTTCAAGGTTAGGATTGGTTTGATTTGGTTTGGTTTTGATTTGATGGTTTGGTTTGGTTTAAACAGTCTCTTAAAAATGTTAAATTGAAAATGATGAATTGTGTGAACAAATGTGTGATTGATCGATTCTAAAAAATGAATCAAAAATTTATTAGTTAACTGACAAAAGGGGCTTTTTGTTTTGTTGATTTATTAATCTTATGGATTGATTGATCGATTGATTGATTGATTGAATTATTGATTGATTGATTTACATATATTCAGCACAAGGAGCCTCTCCTACCGGATCCACCAGGTTACTACCACACCCCTGGGAAGTATCTACCTAACCTACCTAAACCTACTCCCGCCAAATACCCCAGCCCTCCTCCCTACCTTCAATCCATCAGGTTAATATCTATCTATCGATCCATTTATCCATCTATCCATTTATCCATCTATCCAGCTATTAATCTATCTATCTATTCTATCGAGTATCTATCTATTTGTCTAACAATCTATCTATTAAACTGTCTATCTGCTATCTGTATATGTATGAGTTTGATGACCTGAAAACAAAATTGTCAATCAATCAATTATTCCACCGTTTTATTATCTATCTAGCTTTAACCTTGTTTTCAGTTAATTTGTAACAATTAATTAAGTTATTTCTAGTTTTATTCTATTTTCTACATTTCTGTCAAATGTTTGGCTATCAATCCATCTCTATTCCTTTTGCTCACAATTATCTATACATCTTTTCATCTTGTTATCTATTAATATAACAATTAATATCCTAGTAATACATGCAATTATAAGTTAATTCTAGTCTTATTCTATTTTATACCTTTTTGTCAAATCATTGGCTATCAATCGTGTTGCTTACTATTTTTGTATTGTTATCTATTATTGTAACAATTAATACATAAAAATTAAAGTTATTTCTTTAGATATTCTATTTGTTATGATTTTGTCATGATCATTGATCATCGTTTATTTTCCAGTCCACGTGGTCCTGGAAAAGTAGGACCAAGAACCCCCCCTCTCAGTCCACCTCCTGGACCAAGGACCCCATCACCTCGGGGACCACGTACCCCTTCTCAGTCCCCACCGCAGCGCAGGGGGCCCCGAACCCCTCCTGAACCCCCCACAGGGGCGCAATCCCCCCTGTCGTCTCCAGATTCTGAAATGAGCAGCAGATATAACGACTACGATAGATCCAGGTAAACTAACTCTAAATTCAGATTTAAGCGACTAATAAGAAAAAAAAAATTTAAATAAGTGTTTTTTATTGATTTATTGCAGAAAATACCAGGTTTTTCGAGTATTATGTGCGTATTTTGGCTTTAAAGCTTGGAGACGATCCAATCTGATATGGGACGCTCTGTACTAGTATACTGAAAGGGACTGACTACGCAATTTGAGTAACTCTTACTTTTATAATAACAATAATAATAATGCCAGAGATACACCAATCTTCGACTGAGAACAAATGAAAAAGAAAACTATTTCTATTCTAGAATTTTTCAATCCGGGTTTCTTTAACATTGTGACAATTAATGCAGCAGAGAAATTGCTGTTTTAGATCGGAAAAAAGCCCGATATATTTCTCATTATTGCTCAGCTAGAGGTTTAAAATATAAAGGGTATCGTTCAATAAGCCATAATTAATCCCAGGAAAAGAAATATTTTCAGAACAATTGCCTTTTTGACACTTAGAAGCTTAATTTAGAATTTTTACCACTTCTTTCATGATCATAAAGTTTTAGAGTAGCTAAATGAAACAAATTCATTTCTGTTTATTTTTGTTCCGGATCAAACATGGCTTTGAGCATTGGATGATGGGATGTCTTTTAATAATCAAATTAATCATAATGCTATTTTAGGCGGCATAGCCCAGGGAGAAAGTATCGAAGCCCAGAATCTCGCCGTCGCAGTTCAGACACTCGCCAATACTCCCCAGAAACCCGCCGATACAGCCCCGAAACCCGCCGATACAGCCCCGACACCCGATCAGCCACCCCGGAAGGCAATGAGGCACGTGGTACCACCCCCGACGGCCGATCGCCGTACAGTAGTCGGGCGCAATCGCCGTCAAGGCGGAAGCGTGGGAGTGATTGGGAGTCCTACGGTTCTACTCCTAAACGAAAGAAGTCCCGGGATAGATCTAAGGAACGAGAAGAGAAGAAGAAAAAAAAGAAGAAGGATAAAACAAAACAGAAAGATCTCTCAAAATCTCCGTCGCCAAGAAAGAAGCGAAGATCTCGCTCAGGCAGTCCAGGTAACATATTCTATATTATTTCGAATTTGAATCAATATTTTAAAAACGGCCCGTTCCGGCCAACTAACAGCATCACCTTTTCCTTTTCAACTCATTTTAAATTTTTACTTTTTTATCCCAGCTTATCACTTTCGCTCTACATGATTTTAATCAGCAAGTTGAAATTATGGATTTTAATTTATATCCAAATTCAACCATGTTTTTTTCACCAATTTTTTATATATTTCCTGTTCCTCAGTATTTAATGACCTATTCTTAACGGTATCTTAAAAACATTTATAGAGCAGAGTGCTGAAGAAATCATTGTTTTTCAATCTAAGAATTTCCAATATTAAATTGTGGGTTGTCGTTAAAAAATTAACTTGTGAATATACGCACCAGGGACAATGAAGAAATTGTCAGAATTTAACACGTTTGAAGATATCTACAAAAGATATTTGCTTCCTTATTGATGCTTAAATAACGGTAAAAACTGACGTAAATTCTGACATGCCTGTGTTCAAATTTTAATTGTTCTTTTCCAGGCCGATTCCAGAGACAGGAGGACGCACTGAAGCCCAAGCTAGTGGACAAGAACAAGATGAAGGACTTGTCCATCTTTGCCGAGATGATGAAGAAGAAGCAGTTGAGGGAACAACTTGAGAGAAATATGTCAAGGTGGCCATTTTGGGGGGATTTTTTTAAATGTTTTTAAATGTATTGAGTACTAGCTGAAGGGCCCCGGCGTTGCTTGTAAAAAAAACGTTGNATTAGTATTATTATTAGTATATGTTTTTTCTTGTTTTTTTTATATCATAGAATATTGTTAATATAACTTGTTATGTGTCTACAACATACTTCAAATGAAGTGATTACTTGTCTTCTAATTTTCTAAATCTTCCATCTTTGCAATCTGATGTCGCAGATCTTTGATTTGTCAATCTAAAAAGTCTGCGAGACCAAATAGTCTTAACTTTGTGAAATCAAGGTTTAACTCTTTTAGGATGCAAAGACATAAATATTTTAGAAATAAGAATAAGAATGTTCACTGTTCAGTTCCTGAACGATTTAGCTTTTTCATAACAATAATCCGTTTTCAAAATTGGTCAATCATCCTTCTGATTAAAACTCCATTTTGCAGGAGGGAGGAGGGGGGTCGAGAGGACGAGATAAAGGAGGAAGGGGGAAAGGAGGCTGGAGATAAAGTGGAAAGGAGATCATCCAACGGTTCAGAGGTTTCAAGGTACAAAATATTGTCGTCTTCACTCTTTCTTTTAATTATAAGCGATTTTATAATTTGTAGTTCTGTTATTACGTGTGACGGGCAATTTTTGGAATCAATGTAATTAGTTTTATTACTCCTTAATAATTAATTAGTTTATTCGCAGTTTGATTTATTGATTGATGTACAGGGATATTGCTGTCTATTTTCTGTAGTTCGTTAAAAAATGCAAGTTCTAGATCTGTCCTTTTACTCAAAGTAGACATCACTATTCACGCTTTCATTAGAATTTTAGCAGTATGATAAATTGATTGATGTGTTGGGATTACTACTGGAGGGCCGGACATGTGCAATTAATGCCTATTTAGTATTTACTGTAGTTTATTGAATAAAACGTGAGCTGTCATATTATGTTAAAGTAGAAATTAATATTTACTTATTCATAATTAGTTAGCATTATGATTGATTGATTGATCTACAGGCATAAGGGCCGGACCTATGAAATTAATGCATATTTACTGTAGTTTAATTTATAAACATAAGTTCGAGAGCGGTCCTATTACTTTATAGTAGAATTTGATATTCACTCATTCATAATTAATTAAAGTTTTAGCAGTACGATTTATTGATTAATATGCAGAGATAAGGGCCGGGCCTGTAGTTAACTGAATAATACTATAGTTCTAAAGCTTTCCTTATACCTCACAGTAGACTTCAAAATGCAACTCTTCATGATTAATTAGAATTTTAGCAGTATGATTGATTGATTGATTGATGCTCAGGGATAAGTCTGTGCCTAGTGAGAAATCGACGAAAACCAAATCTTCACGACCTTCTAAACTACCTGGACCTCCAGGTAAAAACTATTTTCTAATTGATTTAAGAGATTAAAAGGTTGATAAATTGAGCCTTCAATTAAGAGATGGATTGATTGATTTTAAAATTTATTATTTATGAGGCTGATAGGTTAATTGTTGAAATGAAGAAGTTCATGGAAGAGAAATTAATTTAGAGATTGATTGATGATTGATTGATTGTTTGATTAATATATTGCCAGATTGGGATGTGGATTGATTGAGTGAGAGATGGATGGATTGAGAAGTTGATAAATTGAGGTTGGGACGACAGATTGAAATGTGGATGCATTGAGTGAGAGATGGATTGATGTTTGGTTGATTGATTAATTGATTGTTTGTAGGTGGACTGGAGAGAAATCTAAATTCTCTGTACTCAGACTCTGACGCACCCTCCACCCCGCCCAGACAGGTAAGACCCGGAAATAGTTTCAAATAGTCTAAAAAGAAGAAATAATTTTTATTTTTTCACTTAACGATCATTTTACTCCTGAAGGTCGGAAAAAAAAGAGAAAATGTCCCTGTCCCTTTTTAATTCAGTCATTTCTAAAAATTAATTTTTATTCATTTTTAATATCTTTCATTTAGTTATTTAGGATAAAAAATAGTAAAGCATGTTTTATATAATGCCCCTGCCACTTACAAACATTCATTCATTCATTCATTCATTCATTCATTCATTCATTTTTTCATTTATTGATCAATTATGAATACATTTTACTGTCCCCGCCCTTTTTCATTTCATTCATTCATTTATTGACCAATTACATTTTTTATCTGTAGGTTAAAAAACAACAAAAGGAATAAATTTTTTTTAAATTAATCATTCGTTTTACTTGAGTAGGTTGAGATAATGTCCCTGCCCCTTAATTTATTCATTCATTCATTCATTCATTCATTCATTCATTCATTAATTTATTCATTCATTCATCTATTTATAGATCAATTACAAATACATCTTACGTACAGGTTGAAAAAGAGAAAAGAAAGTCTAAGATAATGTCCCTGCCCCTGCCTCCCCCGGAAACAGAGAACGGAGAAAAGTCCTGGAAGGATCGGAAGAAACCTACAGTCATTGGGAAGGTGAGTGTAATCTAATCATAATCTCTCTTAAAGGGAGTGACCGGCAATGTATGGTGGTTGAACTGTGATTGCAGTATTGTAGAGAAACGTTATAGGATTCATTTGAGACATATAAAACGTTTTAAAGATCTACAATCATTGAGTTTGAGCGCAAGGTCGACGTTCAAAATCATCAATTTGGGTGGGTACTTTTTGAGAATCGTTATTTTTTTAAATTATTAGTTCTTCAGTAAACTAATTAGTTACTAAAAAATTTCTCTTCAAATACTGCAATCTCAGTTCAACCACCACACATTGCCGTTCACTCCCTTTAAAGAGACTGTAGACGCAATTTTAAATGCTTCTACATTGATTGAGTTGCTTGTCTGATTCAGAACTAGTTGAACTGAGGCCGAATTAAAAAAATTTGAGACGCGGCTCAAATATGGTTAATTCCACTTTAAATTGTATTCAATGTTTCAAAATTTAAGCCAGCGCTCAATTGGTTTTTTTTTTATTGTGAACATCTAAACTTTTTTGTCTGATCATCAGTGAACTTCACTTATCACTGAAAATGGTGTAAAAACTTTACTTGAACACTGGAGTGTACCGTCTATACTGTATAGTCAACTCAGCTGATTGCATATTTTTTGAAAATCCCAAATATTGGATTTTAAAACATTTGGTGTTTTGACTCCCAGAAAGAAAATTTTAGCAATTAAGGGTTGAAAACAGCTTGCATACAAAGTTATTAACAATTACTTGAGTTTCTGCGGTATAAAATAAGGACCAGCTCCGTTAACATTGATCAGTCAAAGGCGTTAAAACTAAAAGTTCACGTAAAACTTTAAGTATTTATTAATCGTCTAGGTGGCCGCCGGACCAATGACAGAGGACGGCCGAGATTGGGGAGAACGATGTGTCGATATGTACAAAATTGTCGATAAGGTAACCATGAATTTAGCAGCCCAGGGGGGGGGTAACTTTTGATGATATGGAGAAAAAAANGGTCGTAGTCGTAGTAAGTGGTCGTAGTCGTAGTAAGTGGTCGTAGTCGTAGTAAGTGGTCGTAGTCGTAGTAAGTGGTCGTAGTCGTAGTAAGTGGTCGTAGTCGTAGTAAGTAGTAAGTAGTCGTAGTAAGTAGTAAGTAGTCGTAGTAAGTAGTAAGTAGTCGTAGTAAGTAGTATTATTATTAGTAAGTAGTATTATTATTAGTAAGTAGTATTATTATTAGTAAGTAGTATCAGTAGTAGTAGTATCAGTAGTAGGATTTGAGATTTGAGATTTGACTTGATTCCAGGGGATACTGAGCTGTTAGCACTGAAGAAGGTTAGGTTGGAGAATGAGAAGGAAGGGTTTCCTATTACAGCTGTCAGGGAGATTAAGATCTTGAGGCAGCTTAAGCACAAGAATATCATTAAACTTAAGGTTAGTTATCCTGAGGTCAAGGTCAGTTGTCCTGAGGATATTGTCAGTTTTCCTAAGGTCAAGGTCAATTATCCTGAAGTCAAAGTTAGTTATCCTGAGGTCAAGGTCAGTTATCCTGAAGACAAGGTCAGTTATCCTGAGGTCATGGTCAGTTATCCTGATGTCAGGTCAGTTATCTTGAGGTCAAGGTCAGTTATCCTTAGGTCAAGGTCAGATATCCATAGGTCAAGATCAGTTATCCTGTGGTCACGGTTAGTTATCCTGAGGTCATGGTCAGTTATCCTTAGGTCAAAGTCAGTAATTCTTAGGTCAACGTCAGTTATCCTGAAGTCAAGGTCAGTTATCCTGAGGTCAAGATCAGTTATCCTGAGGTCAAGGTCGAGGTCAAAAATTCTTAGATCAATACAAATCAAACTGCTCTCGCTAATTATTAAATCCGGCTGCTAATATCATTGCATCTGGTTTTCTAATCTATAATCTATCTATCTATTTATCTATGATATGTCTATCCAGGAGATTGTAACGGATAAGTCTGAGGCTGTGGATTTCAGGAAGGATAAAGGGTCTTTCTACTTAGTCTTTGATTTCATGGAACATGATCTTATGGGGTTAATAGACTCAGGTACTTTACTCTTTCATTCATTCATTCATTCATTCATTCATTCATTCATTCATTCATCCTTTCATTCATTCATTTATTCATTCATTCATTCATTTATTTATTCATTCATTCATTCATTTATTTATTTATTCATTCATTCATTCATTCATTCATTCATTTATTCATCCTTCCTTCCACCCACCCATTCATCCACGTATCCATTCCCTCTTCCCCTTTTTCCCTTCCCTCTTCCCATTTGTCCCTTCCTTCTTTCCATTTTTCCTTCCCTCTTCCCCTTTTCCATTCCCTTTTCCCCCTTCCCTTTTTCCTTTTCCCCTTCCATTTTTCCCTTTCCCCTTCCTTCCCCCTTTTTCCTTCTTTCTTTATTTTTTTCCCCCAACCCCAATGAAAGGTCATATTTATAAATATACATTATACACCCCTGGGCGGCTATATTCTATATTTGTAATATATCTATTAAGGTTTGGTAACCTTCACTGCTGAACTAAACTCTAGTATAATGAGGCAGCTGATGGAAGGGTTGGCCTACTGTCATGCTCATAACTTCCTTCACAGGGATATCAAGTGTTCTAATATACTGATGAACAATAGGGGACAGGTACTATACTTAAATTAATTTGGGCCAAGTCCGATTCACAACGGTACCATTTAAACATTTGTCTGATCAAAAACGTAGTTTGTTTAGGTGGACAGAAGTTTTAATTTCCGTTAGAAAACCCACTATTAGAAATATTTCATTTTCAGAGATAAAAACATTGTTGACTTATTTCATTCCTGATCTGACAAAGTTTGAAAGGAATTTCTGTAATTCATACGTGTCTTGTTGTAGTGAACATTATTGTTATTGTTATTGTTATTATTTTCCAATTATTATTATTATTATTTTTCTGCTTATTGTTATTGTAATTATTGTTGTTGTTATTAATACTATTATTCCACTTGTTATTGTTATTGTTATTGTTCTTCTTATTGTTATTGTTAGTGTTAATGTTAATGTTATTGTTATTTTAGGTGAAATTGGCAGATTTCGGTTTGGCTCGACTTTACAATGCTGAGGATAAAGAAAGACCGTACACTAACAAGGTAAAGAAAGACCGTACACTAACAAGGTTAAGAAAGACAGTACACTAACAAGGTAAAGAAAGACCGTACACTAACAAGGTAAAGCTTTAATTAACATTTTAACAATGTCTCCCATGTTGTCATGTAGGGATACCTGAAAGGAACTGTAACAGTAAATTCAAGTGCTTTTCCATCGATTTTTCTGTTTTCAATGGGTGGATTTCAAAAAATTTCAAAACTCAATTTTGGGCGAAGAAATTCTTAATTTTGACTGAACGTAAGCTTTCCTTTGGGTCATGTGAGCCCAAAAAATCTTGCCTTATCTGTTCATTGGTTTTTGATATTATTGGATAAAAACCAAACCATATCAAATATTTTATTCTGGACTAACCAGGTCTCTTTTGGTTCGGCTTCTTCAATGGATACAAACCAAAAGATTTTCTAGGTGATAACCCTATGGTATCGACCCCCTGAATTACTACTAGGAGAAGATATATATGGTCCTCCTATCATGTTTGTATACATACTAAACTATTCTAGGTGATAACCCTATGGTACCGACCCCCTGAACTACTGCTAGGAGAGGAGAGGTATGGTCCTGCTATTGATGTTTGGTCCTGTGGTTGTATTCTCGGAGAGTTATTTGTCAAAAAACCACTCTTCCAGGTAAAACCTTTCCAGTTGATTTCAAAATGTTTCATTTTTTTCTATCTATCTATCCATCTATCTATCTATTTTCTATTATAAATAGGCTAATGAGGAGTTTGCCCAGCTAATGGTAATATCTCGAATGTGTGGCACCCCCTGCCCGGCAGCTTGGCCTGATGTCATCAATCTACCTGGGTTTCAAACCCTCAAACCTAAGAAGCAGTATAAGTAGGAATTTTATTTTGTACATGGGTCCATATAAGTTTGTGGACTACAAGGACGACATAATAATTTTGAAATAATAAAATAAACACCGCATAGCAATTGCTCACCCATTACTAAGAAAATTAGTTTATTTTGAAGATAAAACATCTGTACAAGCTTTACTGATGATGTCGTAACCTAAACGTTTGAGAAATAAGGAAATCTTTAAAATTAAAAATTCTATGAAGATAAAGTCGTAACACTTTATCATTTAAAAAGTGTCTTAAGATAAAGTCATGACACCGAAATCTTTATTATTCAAAAGTTTATGTAGATTGTAGATTAAATCCAGGGGCGTACGAGAGCATTTGTGTAGGGGGGGGGGG